TAGACATTTGAACACTGAGAGGATAGAGTCTTCTTGGGATTAGTTGCTTTACATCAGCGTTTAGAAGCACTCCAATAAGCTCTCTGTAGACAGCAGCTCCTAAGACACTTCATTTATCTTCCAGACCAGGGACCACTTCAAGGGCCCTCAGAGGTGCCTGGCGCTGAGGTCATTGCTGGGGGTGGGTCTTTTCAAAGATTTAGGGCCTTTAGAGAGGGATTAGGCAACCGTGTACATATTATCATATTGGAAAGTAACAAAAGTCAAGTTTGTAGTACTTTTGTTTTGTTCATATGTTTGTCAGCCATTTAAGCACTACTGATACTGTAATTGGGTTAATTAGTTTCTTAGGTAATTAAACAAAATGCCTTCAAAGTTCCAGAGCCCTTAATTTCTATCTGAGACCAAAATTAGAATTTCCTAGGAATATGTTTTATATGTCTTAAAATAAAATAAACTGAAAAGAAGAACTTTATGCTTAGGGTAGTGTGTGCTATTTTGTAAAGCACCATTAACCCAAAAGATAAACCTGAAAAAAAATGTATAAAAAAAAAATCCAAAGGCACCATCTAATGCTTTAAGACAGAATAAGAATATGAGTTTAGAGCCCCAAAATGCACAATAAATAACAATAAATCAATGTGTAGAACACGATAAAGATATGATAAAGTGTACCTGATTAAATGGTTTCTGACCCTTATGGTGCGCTTCAGTCATGATATAACAGAGCCAACAATTTTTGTCAATCTAAAAATTTTCAGGAAGTGGTTGCAGTACTTGGGAGCATTTAAACTAAATATTGATTTTCTTTGTCTAGTTCTGGCCCTGTTAACACAGAGTGATCAAGTCTTGGTTAACACAAGGGCTCTCTCTTTATATATATATATATATATATATATATATATATATATATATATATATATATATATATATATATATATATATTGCCCAAAGACAACTTATTGGCTTATAGATCATGGGGAAGCATTTTTACTGGTTTTGGTCAGGACTCTGGCAGCAGGATTCTGGTTGAAGTACATCTGCTTGGTTCATTATTCTGGAGGCTATCAAAAAAATAATTACAGTAATGTAACTTATTGAAAGGAAAAGCATTCAGGTTTATTTGCATAGCAACTTTATAGGGAACCCCAAATTCTGATTTTATTTTTAACATGATAGCAAGTATGTCCATCAATTTATTTTATATGGATGTCTATCCATCTATCCATGTCTCTATTTCTGTACTTTCAACAGTAGATGGAGGAAATACGGACTCATCCATCATGGACATTTAGAAGTTCTTAAAATTATAGAAAATGTTTTTGTCCACAGAGAGAAGGTCTTCAAAGAAGGTACAAAGTGGTTTGCAGTTTAGCAGACAGCATGTGCAAACCATTTTAAGGTGTTGTTCTTCATCAGTATACAGATCATATTCTACATCATATTCACTTTGTTTTGCAGTCTTTCTTGTCAAGCTACTGTTTGAGGAGCTGGTTGAGATAAATCCAAATATTTAAGCATAATCTGCTCTTATGTCAAGTAACAGACAAAAACAACTTACTCATGGTTTATGGTATTTTATATTACCATTTTTAAGTGATGTTTTTTTATATCATTTTATTATTTTACTTTTGTTCATTGCTCTTTGAGATAGGCTAACTGTTTCAGGTGGATTTTAGATATTATTTACCTTTTCTTCATTATTAATTTTCAATAGTTGTTATAACCTATATCTTCACGCCTTCTAACCTCTACTTTCTTTTATGGCCACTCTCAAACTACCTGTAGAACAAGCAATCTGCCCTATTTGTTAGATGGAACCAACTCGGTTTGCATATCTTAACATTTGTTTAGCATTATTTGTAGATCACCCATAATACATCCACTTACTGCACATGCAAAAATATATATATATAAAAATTGGGCATGCAATTTGGGGCTCTTATTTGAAATCTTTGAAGATAAGACCCTTAGTTACTGTAGTGGACTTCTGTCAAATGGCGACATGGAGTTAAGCAGTTGAATGCAGCCATCTAGTAAAAAAGTCAGATTCAGTCAAAGTAAGACAGAAGTCTTTTCTGCATCGTTGAGGAATGTAAGTAAAACTATCAAGAACGAAAATGTTATCCTAGACTGCTACAGTATTCGGGCATTGAAGGACGGTTGTCATCAGTATTAATTAGCCAGTACAATATTTATGAAAGGATAGACATTGTCCTAATCTTATTGGAGGGGAGGAAGTGTAGAAACATCATGCTTTTTCTTTTAAGAGACGTTTACTAACTCTAAAGTCTTCCTTGAAAGCTTTTTTAGAGCTTCTACTCAAATACAAAGGGGTAATATTGAGCAGATTACCACAGAGACAGCTTTGATCCTCAAACCAAGCCACCTTCTCCCATTGTTTTCTTACAGTTTTGCTGCTCAATGTTTGGTTTTTGGTGATGGAGAGGTGATTTACAATATTTGTTCTTCTGGATAAGACCACATAGGCTGACTCTTCGCTCCCCAGGTCTATAAACATGCTGTGGATGTTCACTGTTCTTTCCTCTGACTTCTAAAAAAATCAGCAAGTCTTGTGGCATTTAGTCAATCTACTCCTATACATATTCCCCACAAACAAGATAATCAAGCAGTGGTTCTATATAAGTTATTTATTGTCCTTAGTGGGAAGCTGCTTGGACAGTTTAAAATGACATTAAAGTTTTCATACCTTTGTCTTCGCTGTGTCAATTGGCTTTTATCCTGTGCAGGGGTGGAGTTGTGGGGTAAGTGATGAAACTGGTGGTGCAATCCAACCGACATCTGCTTCTAATCTGCAACATGAAAAAGACACTCTAATGACCCCATACCTGCCCCCGACTATCGTCTGCCCCTGTCCTGCTCCTTCTGCCTGATGCTGCTCACTCTCATTTCAGCCCAAATCAAACGGTATATCAGGTTACCCAAGATTTCTACTGCAACTTTGCAATCAGACAGACATGAGAGGGAGTTTGTCTTTGATTTATGGGCTCTCATCCTCTTACACATCCCAGACGATCTTGTGACCCAGGACTTGTGTTTGTTCTAGCTGTTTCTTTTTTGCTTATGAAGCATCAGTATTTTGGCCTAAATATTTCATTTTGATAGACTTCCTACATTTCCATTTAAGGCTCCTGCAGGTCCAAGTCGAAAAAGACAGAAGTTTAAAAAAACAAGCAGAGGGAGTAGCCTATATGGGCTGTGAAGGTTTTTTGTTTTGGAGGTCGGGACTTTCCAGATGAAAATTACCTCGCAAGAGGACTGTATGTGTTTAGGCGAAATTAAAAAACAGCTCTGTAGCCGAAAGCTCAACTCAAACAGATTAGTGGGATGAGGATATAGGTGATTGGAACTTGGTTGCAGTTTGCTATAACTGGCTGTAGAACCAAGCGTAGCAGAGCTCTCAGGACTTGGTAGCTGTAAATCTTGTTGCTTGCAATAGAACTGTTGGTTCATAGCCTTTCTGTCTGGCCCTTCCCTCCTGCCTCCCTTGGGTACCTTTAGCTAGGCAAAAAGAGCTGTCCCTCCTTTATTTCACTTCCATTTTACTTCTACAATGTTGGCAATCTATCTCTTTTTCTGCTGAGGTCTGACACACACCAACAAAACACTCACACACAAACGGCAACAGTCGCATTTGATTTGAACCTAATTTTGCAGGACCCCCTAACCGGGTCTGTACAGGCCAGCTGTGTGTGGACCAGGACACAAGACAGAGATACATTAGAGAAAATCACTTCCTCCTTTCAGCAACAATGGCTGTGGGAAGTTGGGCAATTCTTCCCATGTCTGTGCTTCTTCTGTTCGACCATAAATGCATTCATAATTGCAGTACTGGCCGGTCAGCATGTATACCGTGTTGGAGTGTTGGGGTGTGTGTTTCCATTTCTGTTTGTGTCAATAACTTCAAAGCACACTGCAAATGATGCAAATGATAATGTTTCACATATCAAAGTAAAAAAAAAAACAACTTGCAGATAAAATGTAGCAGAAAGAATGTGGCAGTTATGTTTGAACTTTATGAAAATGTTGAACTATAAAACTGCTCATTTCTGGATCATTATAATACAATTATACCCCTTTCCCACTGACATTTAAACCCATGAACATTCAGCTTTTAGAGGCAGTGGCAACAGCTCACTGACGTGTGTCCACCCAGGTCAAACGACTTGGCAAGAAACCTGTGTTAAAATTGCCTCGGCTCTAATTGGCATGCTGTGGGAACACCAGACCCAGGTTGACACACATTTACGTGATACCATTAAGTGCAACGTATGGACGGTAAAAGAGCTAAACAATAAAGCACACATACTACGCTCTGGCTCCCTTCCATGTTGCTCTCCATTGTTTACTTTCCTGATTTCTGTCACACTGTCGACTTCATCAGTGCTAACACAGCATAATGACGTCACCAGACACATAGCAGGACAGAGGCCACACATGCCAGCTATGGTTAGACCCCGCTTTTTTTGCCAATGGAACGGGAGCCAAATTCTAAATGTTAGCAGGTCAACACTTGTTTGAAAAACAAATGTTTACCCACTATTTTGAGTGGGAAATAAGCTTTACTAATCAGGACAGCTCTAACAATCACAGTGAGAGCAAATTCAATATATATTTTCAAAGGGTCAACATAATAATGTAAATGTTTGTAGAAATTATGACCTCTTCATTGTAAATGAATTATTTCATGATTTTGAAGATGTATGTTTAAGAAATATTTTATTATTAACACAATCAGAATAAAAAGTAAAATGAGACAACTTAAAAGGCCAAAACAAAGTTGAAAATCAGATTATTGCCAGACCATAATGTGTAAGCAGATGTTGTTCACAGATTTAGGAAAAGGCGTCCTGACCTTTTTATGTACTAATTTTTCAGAACACACACACATAAAAACATTTATCGGTTTTATGTACTGTTTTTGTTATTGACTGTTTTTTTAAATTACTTACTTCACCTTTATTTTTTTTCTTTTACAGATTCCTTCCTAAGTGGAGCATCAGCTGTGGAGTGTTAGCGCATGCAGCAGCTGTTATATTCGCACTCAGCCCTACAAATTGCACACTGCTGTGTCACTAAGAGCTGAGTGCCCTCTCACTTGCTTGTGTAGGTCAGTACTCGGAGTTTACACAGGGTGGGTGTTAATGCTATATGCTTTAAAGAACTACAAGATGTCCTTACTTTAGCCCTTACAAGCACCCTGGGTAAAAGCTGGAACTAATCTGAGCTGGGTGAGAGAGCTTAGAGTAAGAGAGAGCATCACAATGTGTGTAAAAAGAGTGGGGCAACAAATCACTGAAAGCACAGTACTGAATTTCTAAGGAAGTAAAGTTCAGAGGTCATTTTGTCACTGTAAGTCAGAAAAAGAGAGAACCAATGACTTGTTATTCACTGTTTAAATTCAAATGCCTTTCCTTATTATCATTTCTTCCACCAGCTATTATGATACTCATGGGTTCAATAAGTGGTTATAGTCTGACTAATTGTTTAATCCCTGTTGAATCATAATTTTTAATTGTGACTAGATGTATTTGATCTGATGCTGTGAGTAAAGAAATAAACAAAATTCAAAGTCAACGTAATATATAAGGCAGGGCTGTATTGCTGATATGTTTTTTTAATTTTCCAAATTTGTCTCAATGTAGCACAATGGTGATCTGAATTTTCAGCATTTCCCGAAATATTTTGAAAGTTTTTTTATGTATAGCTTTCACATTTAACCTTGACATGTTCTTACCCCAATGCAGATGACAGTCTGAATCTTCAGACTGTGAACAGTTTTATGTCGCTTTAAATGATATGGCCAAGATTACGTTCACACAGCAGGTCTTGATGCTCAGTTTTGAGTTAAATTATTTTTTTTAAGATGATCTTTTTAGTTTGGTTATCAATACTATGAATTAAATGTGATCACTATCAAACCTCTGTATGAACAGTTCAGCGAGACCAATGTGACCTGTGCAGAAGAAAATGTAGACATAACAAAACAGCACACTGTTTATGGAAGTATTAGTGGATGTAAATTTTACAAGATGTTTTCAATAAAGCTTTGTTAAAGATACATTCAAAAGTAATAGAGGATGTTGGTGTGTGAACCCTTGAATGACGAGAACAAATGATATCAAAACAGCACACAACTATTAATAGCATCCTATGATGGAGCAGTCATTGCTGCTGCTGTAAAGGTTTGTGTCGATGTATGGATGTGTAGTAGGAGACAAGGTAATGATGTATAAATCTGATTAAATGCAGCGTGACTGTTCAGAGTGTAGCCACTTTGAAATGTATTGGATGTGTATCCAATTTTAAACCACATACTGAAGTAGCTCACATCAGATTTTTGTTTGTGGGGGCTAGGGGATGTGACAAAAATCAGAATTGGGCTTTTCAGACTGCCATGAGAAGATCAGATTCAGGTCGTGTTTGCCCGCAGTGTGAACATAGCCTAGAGTCTTGTCTAGATGTCTTTCAGCATGTGTCTCAAAATGTGTTTACTGTATATCAACAATCTCTCTTTTCTGAAATAGTAATTCAGCAACGCTTTTAAAATAATCCTTGACCAGTTAAACTTTATTGTTGGTTAAAACTCTAAATGTTTGCTGTCTTTTTTCAAGAGAGTCTTTACATAGTTGAAATACTAAAAGCGAAACAGCTGAAGTCAGAATACAACCTTAATCTCCCAGGATAAATTGTTTACAGTATTATATCTCTATCCTCCAGAGAATAAAATCCACTATTCTTTTAGATTGTGTAAGCTTACAGATTTCACAAGTAAAGCTTTGATTGGTTGATCAGCTCTTGAAGGAATCTATTTTTTTGTCTATTCTCTGGCTGCCTACATCAGAGTAGAGCCTATTTACAAGACCCAGGTAGACATTCATAAGAAAGAAAGCAACACATTTTGTCCAGCTGATTGATGAAGAAGCCAAATTAGGTGGTAGTCAGAACTTAATGCTTTTATATGATTTTTGCATAAATCTGTTTCTACATTAAATTTCTCATCTCTATAACATTCTCTGCGTTTTCTTTAAGTGTAGAATCATTAAACTACACTTGTTTAATCTCTCTTATTTCTAGTTTCTTTAATTCTTGATCAGCAGATATTTAGGAGAAGTTATTGTGATTAATAATAATTCTAGATCTTGATGACTGTCAGCACCTTTATGGTGTTCTATATTCCTTAATTTAGGTGTGAAAATCTTTGTATTGATAACAAAACAAATCTTAGCATTTAAAAAAAAAAGATAAAAGATCATACAAAAGAAAGAAAATAACAAATAAACATAAATTTGACTATCATACCAATTACTTAAGGTATTTTAATTTCTTTTACATAAAATTGTTGTTGATTCCTTATACCATGTTTGTGTTTTAGCATAAAAGAAGCTGTTCAAAGTAAGACACATCTACTTTAGAAAAACTTGGCTTAGGTCACTGCGTCAGTAATGAATGAAAACACATTTGTGAGCAGATCAATTTTTATAACCTTTGTGTGTTTATTAGATATTCTGAGGCAAATGCAATAAAGTGGCCAAAGCCAATATAGTATGCCATGAGGGGTGATGGAACAGTTCCAAACAGTAATGTCACCTCCATGAACCGAGCACTAATATGAAACACAGGCTGAGGTTTGGAATCAAAGTGGTGCCTTTATGAGTGAATATGTTTGATTAAACCCACACAAGACTGGAAGTCACAAAATGTGCAATTTTGAGGGTCTGTATATGGTTTCCCTCTTTCTTTGTAGGGTTACGAAGAGGGAAATACATACACTACAACCCGTTAGCCTCAACCAAAATATACACACAAACCTAGTCACACACGTTGTCCTCCCTCATGCAGCCAAGGGAAGTAATGAAAACAAATGGCAGAGTTCTTTTCCCACTGGGACCCGAGGAGGAACTTAGTCATCAAGCTAATTTTATTCTTGTCTGGCCCAGAGACTCCATTTCCTCTGGGTGTTTTTACAAACGTTGTGCTGCACCATGCCATTGGCCAGTGATGGATATGAGGGCCTGATGGCCGGATGGCAGATGCTGGCCCTGTAACTCAAGCTCCAAACACTTGCCTCTGCACCCAATGTTTTTCACTCAATGCAATATTAAAGCTTGGGTTTGCATGAAAACAACCAGGGGTTTCTCAAGAAAAGTAACTTCTATGGCCAAATTGCAGGCCAGCATCTATATAATAGAATCACCACAAGCTTTTTACAGTAAATGATAAGGATGCAGTCAATGGCAATGATTTATGATAAATGTAATCAAAAGGAGATTTAGATTTATTTTAAAAGAATTATATGTCTAAATAAAAACGTGGCTCTTAATCAAATACAATATCGCTATGACATTGCTACTGAATGTACTCCTGCTACACATTTCAAGAGTTGTATGCTGAGGGAGAACCTCTCAGCAAATGGATTAAACTAAGCTCTAAATATTCCAAACAACCAGCAGATATTATTAGATGAGTGTCATCAATGCTTACTGAAAATAATAATACTGTCATCAAATTCAGGAATAACATTGCAGTGTCATGTTCATGAAGGAGCAGCTTCAACATTGAGAGCTCCTGTCTCTGATGCAATCTGAAGGCAGGAATCTAAGAGTGTGTTATGGGCCAGCCAAAAGCTGATCATCATGTTTGATTGTTGCAGGAAATTTGATGTCATTGTATCAGAAATAATACCTCTGAGACAAAATTATGCATAAACAGAGATAAGGCATTAATTTAGTTTTCTAAATCATAGAAGGTGTGCAGCACATTGGTATTTCACCACATTCTTTTTTCTGTTTTTATAAAAGGTCGAAGAAGTTGACAGAAGGTAAAGAAGTAACAATTTGTGTGATCACAAAGTAGTGTTGTCACGATACTAAACTTTTCAACTCGATACCGATACTAAGTAAAATATTCGATACTCGATACCCTTTTCGATACCACAAGAATAAAAACAAAGACTCTAAAATTCAACAGAAATATTTTCATTACTAAAAAAATACAATAAATAAATAAAAAACAATAAGAATAATATTTTGAGGTTGTATGCTGTGCAAAATATTTAGCAAGCTTGATAAAAAACTTACAAAATAAAGATTAAGTGTTCCTTCCTTGGCTATGATTTGCAGATGTTTTTCAGTCTGAAACTGAAAAATGCACAGAATTATTCAATCACACAGTGTTCAGAAAGTGCATTTTCCACTATTCTGCACTTTAGATGGCTGTATCGATACTTTTGAAAATGAGTATTGTATCCGGATACAACATTTCAGTATCAATACTTTTTTGAGTATTGATACTTTTGACAACCCTATCACAAAGTCTCCCTGGAATGACACAGGGAGTGCGCCATCATTACAATTATCAGATTGAAACTGAACCCAAAGCAGCGTGATCAAACTCAGAGAGGAGTTGTTGGTAGAAGTCTGAATGCTTCACTGCATGAAAAGTGGGATTTTCGTCAATATGCGGCACTGTAGATTGTCGTGGAACTTCAGGTTAGCGGCAGTTTACGACAATTTGCAGGCTTCGCCGAAAACTCCCGTAAATTGTCAGAAATTGACGTGGACTCTCTTAGGCAGTGTTCCCCCCATGCCTCCCCCCCATGGAATTCTAGGGGAGGCTTTAACATGTAAATGAACATGCTGTGAGCTATACAAATGCAAATCAGGGTTGCAGGGGGGGTTTTACTAGGTAAGAATACAAAGAGATCAGGCTCAGTATACTGTAGCCTCTTACATTTGAGCTTGAATTGATTTATTTAATTAAAGTATAGAGACCAAAACAGATCTTTAGCTGACAGAGCAATACATTTAGAGCAGTAATTATAAAAAAAAAAATTGCATTTAAGATAAAAAATAAAATGTTGTCTGTCAATATGCTCAATTCACAATTACTTAAGTGGAAAAGTTTCAAGAAATGAGTCTGAGATGATTCACTTTATAACATGGCGCATTATCCTGTTGGAAGTAGCCATCAGAAGATTGGTACACTGTGGTCATAAGGTCCGGCCAGGTCAAGATCCACAATTGCAATCGCACCAAACAGGAAAAAGAACATCGACAAATTCCGGTTCGTCAAATTAAAATATAGCAGCAACAGATCGGTGACTAGAAA